AGAACAAACGCAATAATTAAATATAAGAAATAAAATGTATTTACACAATCATACAAAGGGTAATACTGTTAGTAAATCCAGGAACACGGTTAGTAGCAAATACAGATAGATATATACAGTCTCGAAGTAGGACTTCCTTAGAGTCCACGTGCTTGTAACTGACTTCTACAATAGGTTACCTCACACTATCTCCGTTCGTATATCTCTCTCTCTCTCTCTCTCTCTCTCTCTCTCTCTCTCTCTCTCTATCTATCTATCTATCTCTCTCTCTCTTTCCGACTACCCTCTCACTATCCGACTACCCTGACTGACTCTGGGTATTTAACGGCAGCAGTCCAAGTACACTGGTAGAGTCCACTTATATGAAAAAGGGGTGGACCCCATAACAGTATTCATTTCTACGCTTGGTCGGTTCAGGAGATTTTTGTGGTCTAGCTTATGTGCTGATTCCTTAAGTTTACGAATTTTCCAATGATGTTGTGATAAACAAGGCGACAAAGATGAGGACAATAGTCCGAATAATGTAAATAGTGTACATAATACCTCATCTCAGAAATATAGACAGATAATTACTATTATATGTGTGTTTTATGTTGTTGTTTTTTTTTTTAAGTTATATTTATAAGTAATTTCATTTACAAAAATGTATTGCTGGTAATTTTGTTAATAAATTTTTTCAAAAATATATTGTTGGTATTTTTTTTTTCAAAAATATATTGCTGGTATTTTTACTATAAAAATGTATTTTATATATTCATAGTATTTTGATCCCAGTTTTGGGGTTCACTATTTGCCCTGAGCTGGGATTCTAACAGGTTCTACCACCCATGGTCAGAGTGAACCAAGGAACAACAACAATTAGAAGGTGCTTCCATGCTCCTCGAAACCTCCAGATCAGAGGCCTTGCTTCAGGATGTAGTTTATCGTCATACCCAGGACAGATTGTTAATCATCACTCAATGAATACAAACTTAGTAAAAGATAAAAATGAGAACCATTTGGACAGAGATCTGACCTCTATGCTTTTTATCTTTTAATTAAAAAATAATTAATTGACTCATTTGAATTCGATAAGAAACGAAGAACTCTCACCTGTTTCTGTTCCGGCTGTAGTAGGGAATCAAATTTTACACCAGGACAAACATTTGAACCACATTGCGTACTGTTCAGGCTGATGGAACTGTTTCTCGAATTGGGAGTAGCAAGAATCATAGAGGAAATCAAATTCCCCCAAATCTGAGCTGCCATCAATCAAGAAGAAAAAAACGGTTAAACGTATTAAAAATTCATTATACACACACACACACACACACACACATACACACACACATATAACATATATATATATATATATATATATATATATATATATATATATATATATACCAACACTTACTGAAGACGAAGAATATGTCATTACCAAAACAAACAAAGAAAAAAAACTGTTTACTCCCAGAGAGAGAGAACACAATTTTTTTTATTAATTATACCTATTCTAAATGAGGAAACTAATGAACACTTTAACAGGTCTTATTCATAATTCGACTACTCAGCAAAAAAAGCTTGGTGGGGGAACCAGTTGAGTTGCCGATGACACGCCCACTTGGCAGGTAGTACTGGGTTACGCGGTACCAGGAACAACTGCAAAATGACCTTATATAAATACTCTTAATACCTTTTTTTTTATTGATCTATTTTCTACGGCTTACCAACTGTTGGCAGGTTTGTTTTGTTTTTTTAAGTCAGAAAATATTTACTTTTCTTTTTATTTTAGAATAATAATGATTTAGGGACATAGTTCTTGCTAATTAACCCATAGCTGGGGGGAGAAGAGATTGATTCATACCTTTCCCAAGGATATTTGCGCGTACCTGAATATAATGAAGCCAACTTGAATTGGAACTCAGCTCTCCAATTAACAATTCCGAACTATTATCTTTTACACCACCCGCAGATCCATGCTTACAGTATGTGGTATTCACAAGCGGTCACCCATCTAGGTACTGACCAGGTTCGACATTGCTTAACTTCGATGATCATGCTTTTGATACACTATAATATATTCAAAGTAATGATATATATATATATATATATATATATATATATATATATATATATATATATATATATATATTTAAATTGTTTAAATTGTCGGATTTCTCCATATATATATATATATATATATATATATATATATATATATATATATATATATATATATATATATATTCTTAATATATATACATTTACAGAGCATAAATATTACAAATTAACTGATTTAAAATATTTTTTCGCTACACAGTAATAACCATGTTTCAAAGACTGAAACTAAAACCTTCAAATTCAATTATATAATTAAATTAAAAGCATTAGTTCTGTTTCAGAGTTATTCCAAAATTCGCTTGAAGATGAAACAGAACTAATGCTTTTAATTTAAATATATAGCGAAAAAACATATTTTAAATCAGTTAATTTATAATATATATATATATTAAAGACATTTTTATGTTTAAATTGTCGGACTTTTGTCCATTTCTTAATATATATATATATTCTTATATATATATATATATATATATATATATATATATATATATATATATATATTTAAGGCAATAAAATCACAAAGACGGGTAATATTAATGAGTGTTAAAGAATATGAGAAAAACATCTATTAAGGAGAGAGGAAAATAAAAGAATAAAAATTAAGAAGACAGAAGATAACGATTGATAGTGCAGATTAATATATGAAGATCAAAGTTGACTGGGAAGCAAGAAGACGGAAAATAGTTTCATATGCAAGAAGAAACTGTTATCATAGAACTTACGGTTACATCTAGCCATCTCAACTGCACTTCAATTCATAAAGTCTAGTTACCATAGAGGAAAGTTAATCAGAACAATTATCATGAAAGTATTTATAGAAAAGACACAGGGAAGCTACGTTACAGCTGTGGGAAAGGTACTGAAGCCGAGATGCCAGGTCAGGACCAATAACATCACATATTCTTTGGATTTTATCAAGATTTTCTAAATATATAGTAAGATCACCAGGCCAGCTGTGGTATCGTAATACAATGTATGGATGAATGGTAGACTTATAAATATATAAGCTAGATTCTCGCAAGAAAAATTATCTAATCCAACTTTCTTAGCTGCAGACTTAACAATTGATTCAATAAAATCTTTCCAATTCATGTCAGCTGAAAACGTTCGTCCAAGAAGGCGCAATGAGTCATTCTCCTGGAGGCTAGCACCAGCCATGCTGACGGAGGTTAAAAAAGGTTCTCTCAAATATTTTGGATAATATAAAATGTAATGTAAAGTAATATAAAAAATCTCTATATATAATCTATATATAAATCGAGATTATCTATATAATCTTATATGTGGAACACTGTTACAGAATTCTACAAAAATGTAATTGATTTAAGTCATATTAATTAAACTCATAATTAACCATTTTTGTGCGAATTTCCGGCTCCAATTTAACTTCCACGTTCACGTATATTAACCAATCATAGGCGTTAATTGAAATCCGGTGGAGACCTTTGAAAATTTCAAACAAGGCTTATTGTCTACTATAAAGTTCTGAAGGCTGACCCCAGAAAATTATCAACAATATTTTGTCTCCTAAAATTAGATATTTAAAAATTCGGGAAAATATCTATTAACCAATAAACTCCTAAGTTTAGTAAAATCTAATTTTTACTCATTTAGGAGCCGAATTCTCGATTATAAAAGTGGTCGTATTAGGTCGCAAAACTTAGATTTTCAGTTAACTTTTGACCAACGTCGCTTGTTCGTTATTCAAACTGAAATTCTCAAACATCAATTAATTACATTTTGGTATATTTATTCAAGTATACTATATTACAAAAAGGCTTAGTGATGTTGAGTTAATAAACACAAAATCATACGGAGTTTGTTTACAAACGTAAGGAGTAGTATTAATACAGCTTCCTTGCATGCCAGATGTCAACTGTTAGTAAATTACACGAATACATAAAACTACGTAAATACATGGCAGACATTTTTGCGTGAAGTTGTTTCACAAAGAATTTTCGTAATTCATTTCTTTCAATTTGAAAGAAAACTAATACTCGATGATAAAAATATTTAAATTTGTAGAGCCGTGTTCAATATCGCTTATTTCTTCGTTTTCACGTGCCTAAACCGCTACAAATATATGAATCTATTTATAAATGATATAGATTTTTCTGGATTAGAGTAATCATTTATATAGTACTTCATCGAGTCTAGAAGAATCCTTAGCAGAATTCAGAAAGCACTGGACGATCGGTTCTTTCTATTTGAGACTCATCAGCAGTGCGCATCCACTACCGAGAATTGAACGCAGAGTGTTGCGTCCATTGCTGATGAGTCCCAAATAGGACAAAACGGCCGTCCAGTGATTTCTGCTTTCTGTTGAGAATTCTTCTAGACTCGATGAATTAATAAATTATATATACATATATATGTGTGTGTGTGTGTAATTTTAGTAATATATATATATATATATATATATATATATATATATATATATATATATATATATATATATAAAGAACAGTAAGATATATAATCCGGTGTTCTTATTGATATATTTTATTTTTAGTTTTACAAAACAGTGCTCAATGTAAATTTACAGAGCATAAATATTATAAATTAACTGATTTAAAATATGTTTTTTTTCGCTACACAGTAATAACCATGTTTCAAAAACTGAAGCTAAAACCTTCAAATTCAATTATATAATTAAATTAAAAGCATTAGTTCTGTTTCAGAGTTATTCCAAAATTCGCTTGAAGATGAAACAGAACTAATGCTTTTAATTTAATTATATAATTGAATTTAAAATTTTTAGCTTCAGTTTTTGAAACATAGTTATTACTGTGTAGCGAAAAAAACACATTTTAAATCAGTTAATATATATATATATATATATATATATATATATATATATATATATAATGTAATTCATAGTATGATGCAAGAAGTTAAAATATGGGGAAAATACTACTTACATGTTTGAAAGCCATGAAAAAGAATCCGAAGAATCTGTTAATTGCCGCATCTTCGTTTCCATTTGTGAAGCGAGCGTACCAAATGCCGAGTTCCGTTAGATAGGAACATTTTGCCGACCAGAGAGGGGCAGCGCCTAACCCAACTATAATGGACACTACAACCATAACTGCCATGGATGGGTAGAAATTACCAGCCAGGTAAATTATATAAGTCAGCATACTTATCACGACTGTCCACTTACAGCCAAGCAAGCCTATCATTGGTGGCGGAATGAACATGCAAGAGACAACAAGTCCCGCGTACAGAACGGATAGTGCTTTCTCGCCAATTCCTTCCTTAGAATTAAGACTCGTCTGCAAGTTAGTCAGCGACTGAAAGGATGTGAAGAGACATAAGAAGCCGAAACTTAAAACAAAGACATTCTTTAGAATTCGGTTTTTGCTCATCGGTGGCAGCAGCTTGTCGGCTTCTATATCAATGCCGTTTGCATTTTTCATTTGCACGCTGTTTCGTTTTTCACTGACATTGTCTTCATCGGGAATAAAACTGGGGTTCACTGAAGACTCCATCTGTGAAAAAAAAACACAAAGACCGATGAATTATATCTGTTAGAATGGGTGGAGCAATGTATTGTCGATGTTACTAAAGAAAATATGGATTAAATCCGACAAAAGGATTAAATAACGTACAAAAAAGGAAAGCGTTTTTAAATATAGCACTAGTTGCATTATTTACATTATTCGGACTGTTATCCTCATCTTCATTGTCATATTCACAAGGTTTCGGCCTCTATATCTCTGAGATGAGGTATTATGATTAATTGCATTATTTACATTATTCGTAATGTTATCCTCATTTTCATAGTAATATTTACAACGTTTCGGCCGTTGTACGCCCCGGCCTTCTTCATTGAAATTTGGAACCGAACCCTTTATTTCATCCACCTAGGTAGATTGTTTTACTTCCAAGTGCCATGCCTTTTATGGATGTCTCAGTTTTTCCTGTAACTCAACTCTCTAAGTTTTGGGTTCACCACTGCTGTGGCTTGGTATTGAACTAACCAACGTCTTTTGTCCACTGGGTCAAGTGTCCAATGTATAAAGACGTTGGTTAGATGAGTTGTGAGTTCAATACCAGGCCACAGAATTTTTTGAAACAAAACTTGGAGAGTTGAGTAAAAGGGAAATTGAGACATCCGGAAGAGGTATGGCACTTGGAAGTAGAACAATCTATCTCGGTAGACAAAATAAACGGTTCTGTTCGAAATTCTAATCATCTGAAGAGGATAACAGTCCGAATAATGTAAATAATGTAAGTTATCATAATAACTCATCTCAGAGATATAGAGGCCGAAACGTTGTGAATATGGTAATGAAAATGAGGATAACAGTCCGAATAATGTAAATAATGGATGTAATCATAATACATCATCTCAGAAAAACAGACAGATCAATATAGTATGTTTCGCTTTTATTTCTTCGTCAATTTTTGGGGGGAAACGAATTATTAACGAGAAATATTCGGTATTTCAGAACTTCAAAATATATAAATTTAAAAAATTCAATATATATCAATTTTAAAAAAATCTTTTAATTAAAAAAAATGTTTTAAAAAGTTCAGAAAGTTAAGAAAAAAAATACATGCAGGTGTAAATGTTAGCACATTTTCAAACTTGACATTTATACATAACCGGTAAGGGACTTAACCTAAGGCCAATAACTCTGTAAAAGTCAATGATCTATTTGACACTTTATCGATATTATAAACAGGACACTCCTTGTAAATCGATAACAAATCAGTATTTCTTGATTCTGACAAGGAAAGTCGAAAGAATTCTATTCCAAAACTTTATTTAAAAAATTTTTCCCTACTTTTTATGGCAGGACAAATCTATTTAACCCTAGTGTTGTGTTTTGATATTTCATATTCTATTTTTATGTAAATCGGTTTCTTCTTCTATGTACTATGTCCCTTAAGAATGTTAGCGATCGTGGCTCTCCATAATTTCCTCTCCTTTGCAGCACTTAGTATATCTTGTCTTTTTGCTATCTCTCCTAATCACTGTTCTGCCATCCATTTACACAAGCTCGTTGTGTAGGTTATGGGTTGTTTTTCCGTCTCTCTTGTCTTCAATATGTCCTGTGAGTGTCAAATTTTCCGAGGTGTCTTTTTCTCATTATGAGCACAAGAAATTTCAACTGCTTTCTTCTAAGTATAGTTGTCTTTTTTGTTTCCGTTTTTCTAAAACTTTGTCTCCACATGAATTCGTCATCTGTGAGGAGATTCTCCAGGATTCACTGTCATATAAGACGAATGACATTGCGTGACACTTTTCTTTGTTTCTGTTGTAACTTAGGAAGGGTTACTGAATGAGGAATAACCAAAACGGAGGTTGGAAATGACATAGTAATCTTTATAACATCAACAAGATACAATGCTCGCCAGCGGCGTGAAGTAGGTAAACCACTGCTACTGATGGACTACTTAGACAGCATATTACCACCACCACAACACACACGCACACACACAAACACTTACTTACTTACAAGTCCAACGTATTTATGAGGACTGGGATATACCCATTAGTGATCATAGGTACGGTATATATCAGTTTCTAACGTATTCTGTTAAAACACTACCCAGATATTTAAATTGTGGTACTTGCCAGATTATGGTATCTCCACTTTGAAAGTTAAACTGTCGCTTTTGTTGGCAAGCTTAGATTCTGCCTTCTTACAACTGATGTTTAGTCCTTTCTTCTCGCTTTCCTTCACTACCTTCTATAGAAGTTCCTGCAGTTTCCTTTCTGTGTCTGCTATCAGGAGTGACATCCGCATATCTCATGTTGTTACGATTGTGGCCGCCAATAATAAATCCTGGTGGGACTTCTAATTTTCTCAATCTCCTAACTGTGTAGGTTGAATAAGTCCGGTGAGAAGACCGATCCTTGTCTTATAGCTCTTTCTAGTTTTGTTTATTTACTGGAATCCAAGGAGATTAACAGCCCTCTCACTTTACAAGATCCGAATCAACAAAACCAACGTCAAGTCGGTCCTATATTACGGCCCAGAAACCTAACCAAGACCAACGCTCACAAACTTCAGACATTTACAAACCGATGTCTCAGGAACATCCTCAATATCAGGTGGCTGGAAGTCGTCACCAACAGGCAACTATGGGACAGGACTAGACTAGTCCCAATCGAGATTGATGTCAAGAAACGGAAATAGGGATGGATCGGCGACACACTCCGCAAGCCTGCTTCTAGTGTCACCGGGCGGATCTTTGACTGGAATCCACAAGAGGGACGAAAAGTCTTGGCACAGAAGCGTTGACGCATAGGTGAAGGCAGCCGTTACGACATGGTCCGAGCTGAAGAGGATTGCCTGGAACCGCATCCGTTGGAGAGGTGTTGTTGCGGCCCTGTGTTCCCCAACGAATCAAGAGGCATAACAACAACATTTTCTATCCGTATCAAGACGTTACAGTTTCTGGATTATTCCAATATTCTTCCCAAATATGTCAATCTTACCTTGCATTTCCAACAGTTCTTTGGAACAGACTTTATCAAACGCTTTCGCATAATCTATAAAACGTAGATATACATCATTTTGCATTTGTATTGGTTTTTCTGATATCTTTCTGAGCATCGTATTCCTTGTTCCAGGAATAAACGCGCCATTCTCAGTCTAATTCTGCTGATAATTCGAATGATAAGTTTTTTTATATGGGTCATTAGGCTGATTGTTCGATGGAGTTCGTTTGCATCTAGCTTCTTAGACAGCTATGAGAACATAATGGCGACAGGCGGGAATTATTTTACATATAATGTTATGGTAGTAACATCTGATAGGTAAATGGGATTTCATTTTTTTATATGTAAAAAAAAATGTTTATTCACTTCTGAACGCCGTCAAGTGGAATGTGATTTGGTATTTTTCTTCAAACGTTAGTTCTTCCTGCGAGAATGCGAAGAATTCTGCCTGTTCCCTCCTTATAGGTGGAGCGTTTACATAACTTCCTGCTCTCAAGTTTTATCGTATTTATGTATGCGTGTGTATGTGTGTAATGACTATCAGCACGGAAAGTGAATTCGGCATGCCGAGTTCAAATTTCTATCGAAACATACGTTAACTTCGCACTAATAACCTTGGAAAATGTATAAATCCATCTTCCTCCAGTTAAGGGTTAACTAGCAAGACAGGCTGGACCTTCTTGCCTTGAGGTGGCAACCAGTCTATGAGAAGGAAAACCATCTGAATTCAAAGCATCCTGATTAGGATGGGCTCCGTTTCAGACTTTTTTTTAATATAGAATTTTTTATAGGGCACCCGTTGAACTTACAGAAGATAAAATGCAATATTTCAATATTATTCAACGGGCGGTCGGTAAAATGTCCGTAATTCAAAAAGAGGGGCAATTCGCTGAACCGCTATATAATATAAACTCTTATATGTGAATACTAGACAATTGCCTCACAGATGAAGAGGAGACTTGAAGCAGCAGAGGAATTTTTCTACAGAAAGATGCTGAGAATATGTTTGATGGAACACGTGAACAGCAAGAAAGTTTTAAGGAAAACTGAATAAAAAAAACGACGCTTATAATCAGAATCAGAGAAAGTTGAAATTCCTAGGATACATAATGAGGTAATAGGGTTTGGCGAATTTAACACTCACAGGACATACTGAAGGCAAGAATAACAGAGGAAAATAGCGAGTAATCTCCCTAAAAAGATCAAAATCAAACTGGGTATTTAATCTCTGGAAGTAGATTAAATAAAAGGTTAATCTAGAAATTGCCTGGAATTTATTTATATTATTTAAACACTGACTTTTGTCCTTGTTTTTGCTATCACAACTGGTTCGGCCATTGGATGTTTGCAGATCCGGGTAACTGAACCATTTATTTAATGTATGAGGAGGTAAGGAAAACGGAAACAAAAAGGACACATACTTAGAGTAAAAAAATTGTAGAGTTGAAACTTTGGGGTATAATAAGGAAAGAAGGCTTGGAGAATTTAACGTTCACAGGACATACTGAAGGCAAGAGAGGCAGACGGAAAACAGTGAAATAAATTTGTGTAAATGGGGGAAAACAGGTACTGAGAGAGATATTAAGCAGATAAACATTGCTTAAAACTATAAAAGAAATGAAATTGTGACGAACAAAAATAAATTGAGTTTGGGAAGCCTATACATTGAGGATATTTACCCATTACCTCCCCACAAGGTGGTATGTGGTACAAGGCCAGTAGGCTCGAGAAAAAATTCCACGTATACACGGGGTCGAGTAGCAGAGTATTTACAAATATGTTGAAGAGACTGTACATTTATCGTGTAAATGAAAGTTGTTGTTTCTAAAGAGAAACATAGTGGATGTTGAAGAATTTGTGTTGCATGTCGCTAATAAAAATTCCCTAATAAGCTTAATAGTGGAGTATGCCAGTTCTACTCTGTTAATTTTTTAATACTTTCGGCAACAGCGGACGATAGCCCAAGAAGAAATTTTGCTAAGTAATTATTCCGTTTGCGATTGAGCAACAAATGCGGCTTTAATGCAGCGATGA